TCAATGTATGACAAAAACCACTGCAATGTTGTAAAGAAATTAGCCTCCAACTAATAAAAATAAATGGAAAAAAAAATTTTACCTAGCATACTGAGATTATATGGTAATCAATCTGTACGTATTTCAGGGTACAGCCCACCAGGGATTGTGGGTTACATAGATAACCCAAAGGATACTCACTGAAATACAGTAGAGACAGATTTTAGCTTAAGCTGATCTGGCTCCTAATTAATAGTCCATTCCATTGCAACACTCTAGGAACTAGGATAGGGAAAGACATTTTTTATTGTGAAAAGCCTGAGAGGAATGCAAAAACTGATCAATTTAAGAGGGCTTTCTGTGTACAACTCCTACACAGTGTTATGAAACTGTCCCAAATATTTAGGAGGAACTGGGCGTTTATAGACACCAGAATTCTGCTTTCAAACTATGCCAACAACATGCCATTTAACATACAAATGCTCAAAATTAAATTGCTCTTCTGTCCTCAAAAAATCCTACTTGATAGCTTGAGTGTTTTCTATCATCTTTATTAGCTGAGGTTATTAAAATCGGTGATGTTGCTAAAACACTTTTCACGAACACTTTCCCTGGGGGGAGGGGAGCGCAGTGTGATTTGGCCAGGTTTTGTTCATCACAAATTAGGTCAACAGCCCAATCTCAAAAGCAAGCACCATTAATGACATATTTCAAGGGCTTTGCAAAATCAGCCAGCTGGGTCTTGGCAAGCTTCAGCAAGGGTGGAGGGAGGGAAGGAGCAGCCAGCTACACTTCCCTTAATGGCCTCCTGAACTTGGGGTCCTGTGGCTCACATGGTTTCCAACTGCCCATACAAACAAAACTGCTATTTAGAATGGAAAGGAACATGCCACTTTGATGAGCACAATTTTGGTTTTAATTGACTTGGTTCTGGAAAGTGCAAAATGATTAAGAGCAATTTAAGACGCCTAATGCCGAAGCAAAAATCCTATTTAACAAGGATGTACTGTAACAAGAAATTATCCAGAATTTCTTTTCAGGGATGAGGCAGTCACAGAAAGGTTGAGGATGAGGAGAAGGAAAAAAAAAAAAAACAGCCTTGAGAAAACAAATGTTTATTTCCTCAGTTCAGTTGCTCAGTCACGTCCGACTCTTTGCGACCCCATGGACTGCGGCATGCCAGGCCTCCTTGTCAATCACCAACCCCCAGAGTTTACTCAAACTCATGTCTGAGTCGGTGATGCCATCCAACCATCTCATCCTCTGTCATCCCCTTTTCCTCCTGCCTTCAATCTTTCCCAGCATCAGGGTTTTTATAAATGAGTCAGCTCTTCACATCAGGTGGCCAAAGTATTGGAGTTTCAGCTTCAACATCAGTCCTTCCAATGAATATTCAGGACTGACTTCCTTTAGGATGGACTGGTTGGATCTCCTTGCAGTCCAAGGGACTCTCAAAAGGCTTCTCCAACACCACAGTTCAAAACCATCAATTCTTCGGTGCTCAGCTTTCTTTGTAGTCCAACTCTCACATCCATACACGACTACTGGAAAAACCATAGCTTTGACTAGATGGACCTTTGTCGGCAAAGTAATGTCTCTGCTTTTTAATATGCTGTCTAGGTTGGTCGTAACTTTTCTTCAAAGGAGCGTCTTTTAATTTCATGGCTGCAGTCATTATCTGCAGTGATTCTGGAGCCCCCAAAGATAAAGTCTGTCACTCTTTCCACTGTTTCCCCATCTATTTGCCATGAAGTGATGGGACCAGATGCCATGATCTTAGTTTTCTGAATGTTGAGTTTTAAGCCAACTTTTTCACTCTTCTCTTTCACTTTCATCAAGAGGCTCTTTAGTTCTTCTTCGCTTTCTGCCATAAGGATGGGATCATCTGCACATATGAGGTTATTTACGTTTCTCCCAGCAATCTTGATTCCAGCTTGTGCTTCATCCAGCCCAGTGTTTCTCATGATGTACTCTGCATATAAGTTAAATAAGCAAGGTGACAATATACAGCCTTGATGTACTCCTTTCCCTATTTGGAACCAGTCTGTTGTTCCATGTCCAGTTCTAACTGTTGCTTCCTGACCTGCATACAGATTTCTCAAGAGGCAGGTCAGGTGGACTGGTATTCCCATCTCTTCAAGAATTTTCCAGTTTGTGGTGATCCACACAGTCAAAGGCTTTGGCATAGTCAATAAAGCAGAAATAGATGTTTTTCTGGAACTCTTGCTTTTTCAATGATTCAACTATGTTGGCAATTTGATCTCTGGTTCCTCTGCCTTTTCTAAAACCAGCTTGAACATCTGCAAGTTCAAGGTTCATGAACTGTTGAAGCCTGGCTTGGAGAATTCTGAGCATTACTTTACTAGCATGTGAGATGAGTGCAATTGTGCGGTAGTTTGAGCATTCTTTGGCATTGCCTTTCTTTGGGATTGGAATGAAAACTGACCTTTTCCAGTTCTGTGGCCGCTGCTGAGTTTTCCAAGTTTGCTGGCATACTGAGTGCAGCACTTTCACAGCATCATCTTTTAGGATTTGAAATAGCTCAACTGGAATTCCACCACCTCCACTAGCTTTGCTCATAGTTTATTTCCTACCTTATTCTAAAAATAAGTTGATAGGATTTTAAAGCCAAGATACAATGGCAATTTAAAGAATCAATACTCCAGGAAGTACAGCAGAAACGAACACAACATTGTAAAGCAACTATACTCCAATAAAAAACTAATTGAAAAAACACTCGGGAAATACTTAGCACCAATGTTCAATCTTTTCCTCATGTTCACTTAAGACTCTTTAACAAGCAAAGTAAGTGTCAGCAGTTTTTACTTTGATAGTTGACTGAAATTTTGCTTTCCCATCTTCCTTATGACAATACAAAAATGAAGTCATCACAGGCAGTGATGGTTTCTTCAAATCTTAGATGAGATTTAAAACTGCTAGAAACCTAAAATGCAATGTATTAATGAAATTTACACATGCACGCTCCCTCAGTTTTGTCCAACTCAGCGACCCCATGGACTGTAGCCCACCAGACACGTCTGTCCATACAATTTCTCAGGCAAGAATACTGGAGTTGGCTGCCTTTTCCCACTCCAGGGGATCTTCCTGACCCAGGGATTGAAGGGAGTCCTTCATTGGCAGGTGGATTCTTTACCACTGAGCCACCTGGGAAGCCCCTAATTTAGAGATTATCATTTAATGCAAAAGGGAAAAGTTGAGGGCTAAGTGTTTTGTCACTTCTTAAACTCAAGCTGAATATAAAAACTCAGACGTTAGATTTTATCCAGTTAAGTTCAATAAAAACAAATGCCTCTCTGGATTTTAACTTCAAGGAAACTAGTATGTTAGGAATTTTATCTAAAATATGAAAATATATTTTTGGAAAGCAGCTGTCTCCTGTCCACTACTTCACCAAGTCATGCTTTCATGCTAACAAATCCAGGCCTTATACTCCTATCAAAGTGTGTTACTCTAGTCCCTTTAAAGCCATAAAGCTCCACCTACCTTAAAGTGAAAGCCTAGGATGTGCAGGTTCACCTCCACATTTTCTCAGGCTGAAGACTTTTGGATGCAGCAACCAAGAAGGGATTCACTTTGGGGGAAGGGGAGGGAAAAGGGGAGTGGAGCAAGACTTAGGCAGGGAAGGGAGGACAGTGCTCCAGTCTGGTTACTTCTGTCCTCCTGCCTGGAGACTGCAAAGAAAGCTGAGAAAACACCAGGTCTCCAAACAAGGTGCCCTGCACTTAAGAGGAACATCTGTTAACAGGTTTCACATTCCATGTTAAGAATTTGGCTGTTGGAGGTGCTTTAAGTACACATCAGCTGAAGTTTTTATGCTCCCTAACAAGATGAGCACCTTTGAGAAAAGAGCTTTAAAAAACCCTGTTATCTACAGAAGGCAAAATGTATTAATATTTATGTTGATGAACTGGGGGAAGGGCTAGGACCCACTGAGAAGGTAAATGGCAATTCCTTGCATTATACAACCAACTTGAAGAACTATCTTGTCTTACTGAATACAGTAGCCCTTAAAGGTCATAAATTGTGTTCGAGTCTTCCACCCCATGCCCACCATCATAGCTTTTATCTTCGCCAGGCATTTGCTCATTTTTCCAATAATCCAAAAAGTGGAAACTGACAGTAGTACATTAAATGATGCATTTCATTTTCCTAAGACTTCTGGGATACTGTAGTTAAAACTCCACCCCACCCCTTCCTTTTCTAAGGTAGCGGCTTTCACAATCCAGACTGCACAGATGCGAACACCTGGGAATTAAAAGGAAAGACTCAATACGTGGACCCCACCCTTTTACCAATCGAATTTTCCCAGGTGCAGCCTTGAAATCACTTTTAGCCTTGAAAGTTGGGAGGAATGAATTCCACTTGTAACTCTGGGAGAAATTTAAGATTAAATCTAAGATTTTTATCCCAGTGGCCAGTATGACTTAAGACACTGGCTGAGGGGTTCTGGGAAATTTTATCTGTTCTTTGGTGAAAAACTTGTCCAGTGAAAAATGACCCGTGACATTCCAAGGGCCATTCTCACCAACCAAGCAGGGAAGCAGCTTAGAGCGAAGCCAGAATTCAGAAGCAGACAGGAAGCTATCAATTCTGTATCCTTGATAACATGACAAACCTTATATCAAATGCTGCCTGCCACCAGAACTATACCCCAGTTTAGAGTCACATGGGTTCAGTTCAACTCCCCTTCATTTGCAACCTGTGAGAGCTCTAAATTAGAAAGTTAACACACTGGCATGGTGAAGTAAAGAAAAGGGTGGAATTTAATCTTTATTTACAGGACACTGCAAGATATGAAATTCCACACAGAAATTAGAAACCCATTGAGAGGAGAAGCTTCATACAGTATGTACAGTTTGGAACTGTTCAAGTATAGTTTTGTTGTAAAAAGTGCTACAATAACAAACCACATTTAAAAAGAGTTCTTAGTAGAGAAACAGTAAGACAAACTTATACCAAACATAGTACACAACAAACAACTTTAAGCCTCAGATGTACATCTAAAAGTTGAAGGTCCCAGCAGAGCCATCCTGCACTTGGAATGTATAGCCTTCAGAGGTAGTTTCTGGCACAACATTTTGATCTTCCTCTTCCTGGAAGTATTTAAAAACAAAACAATATAATCCCATAAATTTGGCACATTTCTATTTAAACTGAAAACAAATACAAAAAGTTTACTCATTTCCCCGACCCTCAACCTCTGGCAACCACCAATCTGTTCTATCTATGAGCTGACGTGTTGTTTTTTTATCCCCCTAAACTTCCCACGTATAAGAGAAATCTTACGTTATTTGTCTTACTCTGCCTGACTCATTTCACTTAGCATATTACCTATAAGTATCACTCTTAAGGTCTTCATTTGCTTATTTCACCTTTAATCTTGAACCATATTTTAATATCTCAAATAGTGGACGGAGGGCTACTGAAGTCTGCCTGAGAGGGGAAGGTAAGAAAAGCTACTGTAACAGGGATGCAACTAGAGATCATCATACTAAGTGAAGTTTCAGAGAGACATATCACTTGTAAGTGGAATCTAAAATATAACACAAAGGAACCTATCTACCAAACAGAAACATAGCCATGGACAAAGAAAAGACTGGTGGTTGCCAAGGGGAAGGAGACTGGGAAGAGATGGCGTAGCAGGTTGAGGTTAGCAAATGTAAATTTTTACATATAGAATGGATTAACGAGGTCCTACTGTATAGCAGAGAACTATATTCAATCTCCTATGATAAACCATAATGGAAAAGAATCTATGTGTGTATAACTGAATCACTACACTGTATAGCAGTAACTAATACATTATAAATCTACTCTACTTCAATAAAAAATTATGGGACTTCCCTGGTAGTTCAGTGGTTAAGAATCTGCCTGCTAACGCAAGGGACATGGGTTCAATTCCTGGTTGGAAAAGACCCCACGTGTTGTGGGGCAACTAAGCCCATGAGCCATAACTACTGAAGCCCTTACAGCCTGGAGTCTGTGCTCTGCAACGAGAAGCCCGCACACCACACCTACAGAGTAGCTTCCTCTCACTACAGCTAGAGAAATCCCTTGTACAGCAACAAAGACCCATAGACAAAAATGTTTCTTTTTAAAATGCTACAACAACAGAAAAAGAGATTTCCTTAACCTGTCACTTTTCAGCAGGCAAGAGGAAAACAGGCTATTAGGTCAACTTATGGCTGTGGGGTTGGCCCACTTCTCCAACTCCTACACAAACTTACCCTCAAGATATTCTAAGATTCGTGAAGCTATTCATTCCAAAGTAAACTAGTGACTTTTTAATATTTCAAGTTAAAAGATGGTATTAGTATCAAGCAAAACATTAGAGGAACAAATATGTTATATGCAATAGCATACTTATGCTGATATTTTACTACATTTATCAAGGCTCATAAAGAAAGTATGAGGAAAAAATATCTTATGGGCTTAACCTTCCCAGCTATTAAAATATTACCACTTACTCACCTCTACAGAGAAATACTTCTCAATCAAGTTTAATGAAGCTTTGTACACAGACTCATTTTCATGGTTTTGCAGAGCTTCAATTTTGTCCAAACCTCCACATTCTTCAATCATTATACTAAGTTTCTCAGTTTCACCTAGTTTCTCAGCAGCCTGAAAAAAATTCCAAGTTTAGAAGACTAAACTTTGAATGAACTCTTTTAATGAAGAAAACAATGTCTGTTTGACTATCAATATATATCAGACAGAAATAAACACTTAAGAATTCCTTTGCAACTCTATGAGATAAAACTCAACTTTACATTTTTTAACAATTCAAAAGAATCAGATCTGTACTTGCGCTTCGCAGCTACTCCTGTAGCTTTCGGCCACGAAGATCTTACTATAGGTTCTCAACCTTTTCTGTGTATCAAAATCACTTGGTTAACTTTAAAAATGACACTATATCCAGGCTCCACTGGTCTGTGATGGGAATAGAAAATTACTGGTATAAAAGCACCTGAGATAATCCTAAGGTGTATGGAAATCAAGGAAGAGAACCATTGTCCAAGGGTAATAACCTAAGGTATGTAAAAAGAAATTCCCCTAACTGGACTATTTATTGATATCAAGAATCTATTAGGTACATATACAAACGATATCGTGGCTAGCTATGTTTTTAAAGTCCTCATCTTTCAGGAGAGACATAAATACTTAAAAATGAACTGATTTGTTTCAAAATAAAATAAAAGGTAAGGGTGAGGAGAGAGGCCAAATGTTGACAAGTTACTTAATTTAGGTGATACATACATTAGTGATCATTATTCTAAACTCTGATATGTAAAAATTTCCATAATCAGTTTAAAGTTGTTGAGTGGGACCTACCAACCATTATACAATAAAGTGCCATATGTTATCACACTTCGATCAATTGGGAACGTAATCAAAAGAAAAATATAATTAACCAGATCATTCAAATTTAATTTCACCATAGTATGAAATTGGGGGAATTAATGCTTAACAAAGTAAGTGTGTATGAACAGCATTCATCTATGTACCTGGCCTCAATTCCAGTCACATCATGCAGTTGTCATCTCCTTTATCCCGCTCATAACCCTTTGCCACACCTTTTATCAAGAGTGTGGCCCACATAAACAGGCTTTCTGACTCCGTGGGGAACTGAGTAAACTGAGCTGCCCCGTACCCCGCTGTCTAAACAGTAAGCCAATTATCGAGTCCAAATTCAAACAAATGCCGCCTCGTTAAGCCTTACCCGAAAGATATTTGAAATGGCATCCAGAATAACCAGAACAATTTTGGTATCTTTTGCAGTTAGGAGGTTCATCAACGGCTCTATTATGCCACAATGAACAAGGTACACAATCTGCTCAACAGTTCCGCCACTTGTATAGTTGTTCACAGCCCATGCGGCTTCCTTTTGTGTCTTAAAGTCTGCCTAATTAACATAAAGAAACAGATTTATTTCAGAATGGTCATAAAAGTAAGATCCCAAAACCACTGTTTTAGAAGAAAGTGATTAAGACTTCCAATTGGGTCTATCCAAGCTAACATAAAAAGGTTACTATTATTTAGCAAAGGACCGTTAAACATTAAAGCTAACATTAGTACACTAAGAATCTTAAGAAGTACAACTCTACCAAGTGCCTGGCCATTAAGTCCTAAGGCTGTAGTACCTTTGAGAGAAGGCCAACAAGGAATGGGACTAATCCATGATTCACAACTTGTTGTATCTGGTCCTGGCGGCCGGCTGTGATGTTTGACATTGTCCACGTAGCTTCCTTCTGAATATTAGTTTTGGAGTTTGTTAGCAGGCTAGGAAACACGGCAAGTGCTCCTGCATCTATTACAACCTGTGTTTGTTCATCTGTCCCAGTGACAATATTTCCTATGGCTCTGAGCGCAGGAGTCTGGAAGGAAAAAAAGTTGACGCTGGTAGTTATCTTTTATCTATTCCAGCACTACTCAAAATCTCTATACCCTGAAAGTTTTGACAGGTAAGAGGCTCATTATGGCTTAAAATATACAATATGTCAATATTAGTACCAACTGATTGTGCTCCTTATACTTTATATTCTCATTTGAATATTAACTTACCACAATTGGCAATTCAGTAGCTCCTAAAAGCTTCACAAGTTGGGGCACAACCCCAGTTTTCACAACCATTTCAATCCGTTCATTTGGACCATCAGTAAGGTAGGAAATAGCCCAGCAGGTATCAGCTAATACTTCTGGATCATCGTGATGCAGGAGACGAACTAAAGTAGGAAGAATCTGCTCAATAGCCTCTAAGGGGGGTGCAGGATTCTTGTTGCGACAAAGATTTGAAAGTGTCCAGGTAAGATTACGTAAGTAACCGCACTGGGGGGAAAGAAAAATGCAATGAAGTGCTGTTTTTTAAGGGTGTAGAAAAATGAGAATCAATGAGAAACGTGACTTATGGTAAGTAACTTACTGCTAGAGATGACATATCAGGGACAGCCAGAAGCGCCAATAGTGGATCAACTGCACCATACTTGATAACCAAGTCTCGGAAAACTGAACCATCACCTTAAAAAAAAAAGAAGGTGGCAAAGTTAACCATGACTACCTGTCTAGCGCCATTAATTTCAGTTACTGAGTACACTAGTGTCTTGATGCAACAAATACACTAAAGACACTTCTGCCAACCTCAGTATGATTGGAGACATCCAGTCAAAAGAATTTCAAATCCAAGTACCTGCAATGTTTCCTAGAGCCCATACAGCTTGTTCACTGATGTGAGCATGGGGAGATGCCAACAGAGAAATGAATGCTGGGATAGCACCTCCGTCTACCACAGCCTTTGTCTGTTCTGATGTCCCAGAAGCAATGTTAGTGAGGGCCCAAGCAGATTCGAACTGAATGGGACTACAATCAGTTCTTCCCAAGAAGGACACAAATTTTGGAATCAAACCAGCCCGGATTATGTTGTCAATAGGGGGCTGTTTTTCCCTAGAAAGCAGTTTCCTATGGGTGAGCAAAAAGAAAGACAAAAATTAAAGGTGATTAACCAAACAAGTTCATACCAAAAAAAAAAAAAAAAAAAACCACAACAATTTAAAACACAACTCGAGACCAAACAAGTTCATACAAAAAACACGATTTAAAACGCAACTTAATGCAAGAGTTTAAAACTTTAAGCAACCTTTGACAGTGCAGACTCACTGCTGAGGCATCCTGGAACTAAGAGAAGCTGAGCAGACTGTTTGCATGGTACAACCATAGGTAGTGTCTTAAACTACTTTTCCCAAAACTGAAATATTACCAATAATGCAGAACCCTTCTCTCTGCAGAAATCTATTTTAGATCTTACCACTTTTAAAAAACTTTGACAATATGATAGCATAACACTCTATTAATCTTCATTACTCTGACCAGTAGTGAGGACACAAATCTTTTCCCTGATCTTTTGTCAACTGGATTTGCTATTCCCCACACTGTGAAGCTACAGAAATTATTCATCCTTTCCATTACGGATGTCACAAATATTTGTGTATGGTGGGTGGGAAAAGTCTAATAAACAGAATATATTTATTTCCTAAATGGATGAACCATTCTAAATCAATGTGCTAATCCCACTTGCTGAATAATTCCTCCTTTCCCTGACACTGACTTGAAATGCCAGTGACAAAAAAAGATTTCTTAAGTACATCAAAAAATTATCACTGGAGTAGATGTAATTTTAGGCAACTACAGAAAATTTTAGATTAGGAAAGATTATAATGAAAATAGGCCTAGGCCTGGCTTAACCTTTACTCTATGTACCACCTGCCCATTGCTTTCCCATCAAAAAATGTAAAAATGCTGATTTTTTTAGTTTACTCATGCTAGAGAAGACAAAACTTACCTAGCAGCTTGAGTAGCTTGGAGCTGGCTTTCCAAATTGTTGCTATTTATGCCTTTGACAATATCGTCAACAGACCAATTTACAGTGCCCTACAAGAACAGGGGAATTAATTTTCAAATTATCATTTTTAAGATTAAATATAATGCAATCCTGACATGAAGACATTTCTGTTTATAATCAGTTACTGAAAGTTTGGTCCCACATTTAAATTTGCCTGTTAAATACTCATTATTTAATATATAGAACAATCTTCAAATTTGGTGTCATGACTAAATGTCCTAAGTAATGGCGTATCCCAGCATCTGGTCACTAAAAATAGTAGCTGTGAACAGGTTAAAAAAATGAACTAGAGTACTGTGAACTTTATTCCTACATTAGTCTCAATCACTTTTATTCAGATATACTTTTAGGGGAAAAGGGACAGAGTTAGAGGCAATGTGCTGGGAATCTGCAAAGCTAAGGCTGTTATCCATGCATTTCCCCACTGGTGTTGCACACATAAACATTACAGGTAGTGACTACAGATTGGAATTAACTGTAGCATTTGTGACTACAGTTAACTTAAAAAGTCAGTATCACATTCTAAAGCCTTACAACAAGGAAAATGTAAAATCTAGACAACCCTAGAACAAATTATATATGTAAAACTCTGTATATAGCATTTATTCTCCATTTGTGGTACAGAATGGGGTGCTACAGGAATTCTGGGAAAGGAGCATTTTTCCTATTAGGATGACCTAGAAGTGCTATAAAGAGAAGATGGGATTTGAGTATAAAACTTAAGAAACAGAACACAGTGGGTGGGGGGAGAAAAAGAACATTGATAAAATGAGGAGCACTGAAGGAAAGCATAACATGGAAAAAAAAGCAGGAAATTGCCCAATATTTTTAAAAGATGAAAGAAAAATTTAAAAATCTAGGATGGGGCTTCCTTGGTGGCTCAGCTGGTAAAGAATCCACCTGCAATGTGGGAGACCTGGGTTCAATCCCTGGGTTGGGAAGAACCCTGGAGAAGAGAATGACTACCCACTTGAATATTCTGGCTTCCATGGACTGTATAGTCCACAGGGTCACAAAGAGTTGGGACACGACTGAGCAACTTTCACTAAATCATTCACTTCTGATAAAATCATGAAGTCTCCATGAGTAGAACTCTAGGATGGGTCTAATTTCCAAAGAACCTTAAAAAAAGGATTTAAAATCATAAAGTTTCTATGCTTTAAGCAGTATTTTAAGAAAACTTTTAGGTAAACAGTATGTGGCACGGAATGAAAATCAAGAGACAGTTGAGGAAAAAGACCTGAAAAAAGCTGGTGACAAGTACATAAAAAGAGAGGGAGGGAGCAAAGGAAAGGTAGAGAAAGAAGAAAAAAGGCAGAAATAAGTTGGTTCTGGACATACTTTCACTGAACACTTGAATGGCCAACTCGAAGTAAAAGCTGACAACTAGAAAAGCAGGGAAACTTCAAGGGCAGATCAGCGCTAAAGACAACCTTGGAATCAGCGTCCACAGATTACAGAGGATGGCGGGGGAAAGATAACCCATCAGAATTACTGACCAGGAGCACACAAAAACAGATCTTCATGTTTGATAGTTAAAACCCACAAAGCTAAGACATGTTATTTAAATATCTTTGAAAGGTCTCATACTGATTTTCTGGGTTTACCATAATTCATAAGCTAAAATATCCTCACCTGGTTGTTGCGGTTTTCCTGCAGTGGAGAAGTAGCATCATCAGGAAAAGAGCTGACATTTCTCCTTTTCAGCATCTGGTCATCCTTCTTAGCTTTCCTTAGCTCCACATTAACTTCTATTCGGCGGCGCCTCATTTCCTTGAGAAAAGATAACATATCATCTCACCTATTACACGTCAGTGTTAGTTGCCAAGTGAGGAAAATTTTTCAAATTCACTCAAAGTTTTGACGCCCTTTCCAAATACCTTCCCATTTAAAAAATACTAGGAAAACAACAGAAGGTACTCACTGTACTGTCTTTCCCCTTGTTCTTGAATCTGTTAAGGCGGGGAGCTGGTGAATTAGCATTCTCATTGGTGGACATGATTATGACACAAAGGGAGAAAGCTGCAAAATGAGGGAGAGAAAAATTTCCTTTTTATCACTTTGGCAATAACATAAGCATTAAGGGAATTATCAAATACACGTCCAATTGGTATTTCCATCCTAGAGAAGGATATTCCTTTTTCAGCACTATGGAACATGAGTTTTAGCCAAACTATATTTGGCCCCTCCCCTCTGAAGGGCTGAGGCTTCCAGGAGCGGTACTGTCCACCAGAAACATGATGCAAGCTGTATAAATTTAAGCTTCCTAATAGCCACGCTTGTTAAAAGCAAAAAGGAACAAATGAAATTAACTTCAATAATATATTTACTCCAATATCTATTTTCTCATTTCAACACATTACATCAAAAAATTACTGAACTATTTTGCATTCTTTTTTCATACTAATTCTTCGAGATCTTGCAGGTACTTTAACCTTACAGCGTTAACTCAGTTTAGACCAGCCACACGCGTGTGGAGACTACTTGAACAGTTAACTAATTAGTTAACTAACAGACAACGTACGGGAAATAAGGTTACAGTTAAAATCTATGTCGTACTGGCCACAAATTCAGATCTTCTGGAGGCTCTACTGTCTTTAAATGGCCAAAACAGATACATTCTCCACGTCTGAAAATTTTTAAAACTCTGATTCGTTGTTAACATTATGTAAACTTTCATAAGGTTTCCTGCCAACCCTGAACACCTGCGACGCAGTTCAGCATCTTGCACATTTTCATTTCCAGAAATTCTGAGTGAACGCACTAAATTAGGCTGTATCAGCTGCGTTCCACTCAAACTCACCTACGTAAGAGCAATCTCCCAAAACATCACAAAAGTCCTCCTTCAAAGTGGCTATCTTTAATTCCATTCTGTTCTTTTAGAAATTGTGACAGAGCCAACCCACGGCCTACGAATTAAGAGACAGCACCTCCAACTGCCACCTCCATCTCCAGTCCCCTCCCCTACCCCCTTCCCCACCCCCATTTCGAGGAAGCAGCAGCGGGAACCCGCGGAAGGAGGAGCCAGAGGCGCCGGGCCCCCTACCGAGGCTTTCGTCCCCGGGCCTGACTCTAGTTCTTGCGGTTGCAGCGGTTCGCAAGGCCTCGGGCACTAAGGCCCGAGCATTCGCATCCGTAGTGAAACACCCGTTTCGTCAACGAACTACGCCCCCGAGGCCTCATCGACCAGAGAGGCCAAAGCCTGGCCGCGCGTCTACCCCGAGATTCCCCTCCCGCCTCCAGCAATCTGAGAGCGGCCTACGGGCCCGCCTTTGCCGCTCCAGCTGCGCTGCGACCTCAGTTCGTACCTACACAGCAGGCTCAAGCGTCCACCGGAGGCGGTGCGCGGCGCACAAGCTGCGGGATCTGCTGCCTCTAAACGTCCACCACGGTCGGCCCGAGGACGATGTGGCTCGTGCAGCCGGCCGGCGCGATTTAAATTTCCCGGTGGCTCCGCATTCCGATTGGCTGGTTCGAGCTTACGCTATACGTCCATTGGTGAATTTGAAAAACACGTTAGCTGGGGAGGGGGTCAGAGGGCCCAGAAGAAGATAGGCTAGCATCGCGAGATAAGGGAGCGGCCGCGCGATCCCCGAGAGCCCTGCAGAGCGGAGAAGAAAAACTCCAGATCCCGGCATGCACCGTGCAGGGCCGGGTCCCTGTCCATCTTAGTCGGAGGGTTAGCTCTTGGCATGGGTTTACCGCTGTGTGGTGGCTGGTCGTTTTCCTGAGTGTTTGCCTTAACTTAGTACCACAAATGATTCCCAAAATAATTCTCTTTAAAAATCTTAATAAAGAAATATATTGCTATGCATTTTTCCCGACAGGACTCAGAAGGAACTTGGCCGGGGTCTCTGGCCATGAAGGAGGGGAGGAGTAAGGCAGATATGTGCTGTATTTTTTTAGTTGTTAGTTTTTAACTTGTGTCATAAAAGACTGCATAGAAGGCAGAACTATGTTAACAAAAGATTTATTACTGCCTGCTTCTCCAGTCTTATTTTTAATAATTTCAAATACAAAAGAATTGCAAATCTTTATCCATATTTGCTAAATGTTAATTTACTATTTTGAGATATATATATATATGTATACACACCCACACACGCGTGTACCTGCATTTATATATACATGGCTTTTACATATTACTTTTTGAACCATTTGAGAGTAAGTTTGAGAAATCATGTCCGTTTTACCCCTAAATATTTCAGCTTGTATCTTGTAATAGGACATTCTGTTATATTACCATGCCATAATCATCAAATTCAAGACAATTGAACTTATGTGTGATTATTTATTTATATTCTGTGTTCAAATTGTCAATTGTTATAGTAATGATCTATGCTATATTTTATATATTTCAAATAAAATGTTTGCATTTTCTTGTAATTTAAAAAAAAGCATCAGTGATAGTTATCAGAACCTCAGGATTATGGTCTACTTTCTTTTTGCAACTTTTCTGTATTCTGAGAAGGGTTTTTTTTAAAGAAAAACTGTACTGGCTTTTTCTTTTATTTACTATGAATTCAAACAATGAACTTTGTCCCTCCTGCAGGCATTTTTTGCCAGCCTCACTCACTGTGTAGCAATAATGGGAGTCACGGAGGCTCATTCTACTCCCACATAACCAATCAGCATAATCTTACCCCCCTTAATGCACAAGGTGGTAGGATTTCACCTCTAAACCAGTCACTACCTGGCATTCTCTTCGCTACTGTGAATGGTTCAGGGGCAGTCATGTGACCTAAATTCATTCAGTTGCGGAGTCTATGCCTTTTGTTTAATGATGAGAGGTAGGAAAGGAGGCTCTGTCCTCAATTGAGAGATGTGAATCCTAGAAATGCCGTAAGACAATTGGAGAGAAACCGTGAAAACTTTGATCAATACCATGCCTTACCTCAAAAGGCTGCAATTATATGACTTTGCAAATATATCATCCAGTACACTTCCTCTGTTGTTTAAGCTAGTTACATTGGGTCTTCTTTTGCTTACAAATAAATATTGGGTACTATGTGCTCAGAAGTGTTCTAAGTTTTTTACCCTTATGAATACATTTAATCTTCAAAATTGTGTGAGGTAGCATTTTTATCTGTTCCATTTCACAGAAGAGGAGAGTGAGTGGTTAAGTAACTTGTCCACATTCACACAGGAGTAAATGGCAGAGACAGGACTCAAACCCAGGCCCTCTCCTTCCAGGATCCACGCTGTCTGACCACTATTCTGTACTTGCACCTGAAAACAACCTGAAACAGAAGTAAAATGTCAACAGTGAAAGTTGCCTTTGAAAGATACCTTGCCCTGGGAAAGGATAGAGCCCCCCCCTCAAATCTTCCTATTGTAGTTGGATGGAGATTCAGAAGAGGGCCTAATGTGGCCTAAACCAATCCCATTCCATCCCCCAGACAGAGGAATTGGCTTGCTGATGATGTAACAGAATACAGTAAAATATTTACTGAGACGTTTGTGAGATAGCCTCTCTCTTCCAGTGGACTGTGTGCTATGCTGATGTGAGCCTGGGAACAAAGCTGAATCTGAGAAGCAAACTCAAGTGTGCCCAAGACTGAATCATCATAGTCTGGCAGTCATTCTTTCAAGTAAGAACTGTGTTCCATTGAAAAGGCAACTAGTTTAGCCTGCAACTCAAACACTGCACAAAATGTTTTCCTCAAGAGACAATCATTGAATTTTGGTTATCTGGTAGAAGTGATTTATGCATAATTCCCATTTTGTCTCATAAAATATTAAAAACATTCAAGGGTTGGGATTTAAATTAATAATTCTTATAGTGTCACCTCTTCCAACAACACAAGAGAAGACTCTACACATGGACATCACCAGATGGTCAACGCCAAAATCAGACTGATTATATTCTTTGCAGCCAAATATGGAGAAGCTCTATACAGTCAGCAAAAACAAGACTGGGAGCTGACTGTGGCTCAGATCATGAACTCCTTATTGCCAGATTCAGACTTAAATTGAAGAAAGTAGGGAAAATCACTAGACCATTCAGGTATGACCTAATCAAATCCCTTACGATTATACAGTGGAAGTGAGAAATAGATTTAAGGGATTCGATCTGACAGAGTGCCTGAAGAACTACAGAGGATGGAAGTTCATGACATTGTACAGCAGGCGGGGATCAAGACCATCCCCAAGAAAAAGAAAGGCAAAATGGTTGAGGAGGACTTACAAATAGCTGTGAATAGAAGAGAAGCAAAAGGTCAAGAAGAAAAGGAAAGATACACCCATTTGAACACAGAGTTCCAAAGAATAGCAAGGAGAGATAAGAAAGGCTTCCTCAGTAATCAGTGCAAAGAAATAGAGGAAAACAATAGAATGGGAAAGACTAGAGATCTCTTCAAAAAAATTAGAGATACCAGGGGAACATTCCATGCAAAGATGGGCACAATAAAGGACAGAAATGGTATGGACCTAACAGAAGCAGAAGATATTAAGAAGAAGTGGCAAGAATACACAGAACTATACAAAAAAGATCTTCATGACCCAGATAATCACGATGGTGTGATCACTCACCTAGAGTCAGACAACCTGGAATGTGGTCAAGTGGGCCTTAGAAAGCATCACTACAGACAAAGCTAGTGGAGGTGATGGAATTCCAGTTGAGCTATTTCAACTCCTAAAAGATGATGCTGTGAAAGTGCTGCACTCAATATGCCAGCAACTTTGGAAAACTAAGCAGTGGCCACAGGACTGGAAAAGGTCAGTTTTCATTCCAATCCCAAAGAATGATCAAACTACCACACATCTGCACTCATCTCACACACTAGCAAAGTATTGCTCAAAATTCTCAAAGCCAGGCTTCAACAGTACCTGAACTGTGAACTTCCAGATGTTCAAGCTGAGTTTAGAAAAGGCAGAGGAACCAGAGGTTAAATTGCCAACATCCATTGGATCATCACACAAGCAAGAGAGTTACAGAAAAACATCTACTTCTGTTTTATTGACTATGCCAAAGCCTTTGACTATGTGGATCACCACAAACTGTGGAAAATTTTTCAAGAGATGGGAATACCAGACCACCTGACCTGCCTCCTAAGAAGTCTGTATGCAGGTCAGGAAGCAACAGTTAGAACTGGACATATAACAACAGACTGGTACAAAATAGGGAAAGGAGTATGTCAAGGCTGTATGTTGTCACCCTGCTTATTTAACTTATATGCAGAGTACATCATGAGAAACGCTGGGCTGGATGAAGCACAAGCTGGAATCAAGACTGCTGGGAGAAATATCAGTAACCTCAGATATGCAGATAACACCACTCTTATGACAGAAAGCAAGGAAGAACTAAAGAGTCTCTTGATGAAAGTGAAAGAGGAGAGTGAAAAAGTTGGCTTAAAATTCAACATTCAGAAAATGAAGATCATGGCTTCTGGTCCCATCACTTCATGGCAGATAGATGGGGAAACAGTGGAAACAGTGACAGACTTTATTTTTTGGGCTTCAAAATCACTGCAGATGGTGACTGCAGCCATGAAATTAAAAGACCCTTGCTCCTTGGAGGAAAAGTTATGACCAACCTAGACAACATATTAAAAAGCAGAGACATTACTTTGCCAACAAAGGTCCATCTAGTCAAAGCTATGGTTTTTCCTGTAGTTACGTATGGGTGTGAGAGTTGGACTATAAAGAAAGCTGAGCACCGAAGAATTGATGTTTTTGAACTGTGGTGTTAGAGAAGACTCTTGAGAGTCCCTTGGACTGCAAGGAGATCCAACCAGTCCATCCTAAAGGAAATCAATCCTGAATATTCATTGGAGGGACTGATGTTGAAGCTGAAACTCCAATACTTTGACCATCTGAAGCGAAGAACTGACTCATTGGAAAAGACCCTGATGCTGGGAAAGATTGAAGGAGGGAGGAGAAGGGGACAACAAAGAATGAGAAGGTTGGATGGCATCACCGACTCAATGGACATGAGTTTGAGTAAACTCTGGGAGTTGGTGTTGAACAGGGAGGCCTGGCATGTTGCAGTCCATGGGGTCGCAAAGAGTCAGACATGATTGAGTGACTGAACTGAACGGAACTGATTGTGTCAGGGTGTTCTTTTTTTTTTCTTTTGTCAAGGATGTTCTTAAGTGAAGCCTGCCAACAACCGCTCCCCCACCCTCCACTGCACAAAGGCAAAGCATAATTATTATTACTAGCTTAGTCTGACTGCCTGGACTCACTGATGTGGCAATTTTACTTACCAACGCGTCTGCACCATCGTTGCTATTAATTATTAGTTATTATTAACTGATAATGTCCTAGTGTCTTTGAAAAGTATTTTCCTGGATGACTCAGGATCCACAGGTGGTAAAACTGACAAGACACACACATAAAATTGGAAAGAAACACACCAAAATGTTAATAGTGGTTGACTGAATACTAGAATTATAGTAGTTTCAATTTTCTTTACTTGGCTTACCCCTATTTATACAATTTTACAGTGAACAGGTATTATGTGTCTAAAACAGAAAAAGAAGTGTATTTAAAAAAATAAAAGCAGCACATTTACGTGCAACAAGCAAAAAGGTATTATGCATGGAACCAAAAAACTTCTAAATCTTTATACAAGATCTAGTTTTAGGATAAAATCAAAATTCGTATTATTTTGTATGTAGGGACCTTGTTATGTTTATTTTCCCTTTAATCCGGAGGGAAAGAAGAGATGGGGAGAAATATGGATGTAGGTGAGTGGGGGAGCGGCGCAGATGTAAAGAAAAGCCTGTTCATCCTGGAAACCCCCAACAGTTCCCAGCACATAAAAAGTTATCCAATTAATGTATATAGAATAAACGCAGGAAAGGAGATGGGGAGACTGTTAGGGACGGGAAGGCTGCGGGGACCTCAGGCCAGAGGAAGGCGGCAGACACACCAAAATGCAGAGGCCTGGGCCCGCCCCGGTAAACAGAATTAGAAAGGAGGTGGGGGAGGCTAGGCATTGGAATTTTGTTTAAAGTTCCCCCCCCAAGAGCGTCTCGTAGGCAGTCAAGACCGAGAACCTTCCCGAGAAGAACCCAACAAAATGCACGCCCCTCCCACCGATACCCAGAGCCGCCCGCGTGCCTGCCAAGCAGTACCAGGACAGGGCGGGGGCGCCGAGATAGCCCAGGCGCATGCGCCTAGGGGCTAGGGCGTCGGGCCAGGCCGAAGGCGCAGGCGCTTGCTGCAGCCACTGGGGGCGGTTCCCAAATCGTGCGCAGCCCGACGTGAGACCACAGAGCGCCGGGGCGGGGCACGATGATGGTATCACGTAAGAGGACGGTGTGAGAAGCCGGATCCTGTGGTGACCCAGTGGCCTAATGGATAAGGCATCAGCCTCCGGAGCTGGGGATTGTGGGTTCGAGTCCCATCTGGGTCGCGCCGTAATTAGTTTTGGCGGACAGAAAAGCGATGATGGGCACTAAAATAGATTTTGAAATGTCGTGATTTCGCTTTCTCTCCTGCGATCTCCAGGGTTGTTGTATCTACAAATCGGAAATGCATTCTCCGCAGTTGTGCAATTAAGACCTTGCAAGAGAAAACTAAGGTGTGATCCAAAAGCGGAGCATTTAGTCTTGCCTAGTTTATATTTATCTTTAAAAGAGAAAAGCCTTAGAAAACACCAAATGCTAGCTGGATAGATGGCATCATCTCTGTCTTTTAAAAATGCATTTCATCATGGGCAGGCACACATGGAAAACTCCCTCCCCATCCTTATCCCAAGGGGTTAAGGGGTGTGTGAGCAGATCCAATTGTGCTGGCTGCAAACATTTATTTCCAGAACTAAGGAGAATTTAGAAGAAACTGTGTTAAAACATACAAATAAATATAATTTATGGTTTGTGTCTTTAAAGTACAATGAACAACAGACTGTAGTTGAGATGTAAGGTTTGTGTGTGTGTGTGTATTTGATTCGCAAAGTAGTGTAATAAAAGAAATGCAATCAGAGTTTAAGCTTTCCAGACTGGTTCAGCTGACAAGCTTGAAAAGTTCAAACTCTTCTTGTAAAACTTGTACAAGAGGAATATCACAGAGTTAAGTCCTACTTTTGAAAAAACAAATACTAAATGCTATGTGGGGATCCTGGGTTTGAGCCTGAAACAGATAAAGGACGGTAGGGGAAAAACCAGTGGAATCTGAGTACATTCTGCAATTTAGCTACCCACAGTTATCAGTTCAGTTCAGTCGCTCAGTCACGTCCGACTCTTTTCGACCCCATGGACTGCAGCACACCAGGCTTCCCTGTCCATCACCAACTCCTGGAACTTGCCCAAATTCATGTCCATTGAGACAGTGATGCCATCCAACCATCTCATCCTCTGTTGTCCCCTTCTCCTCCTGCCTTCAGTCTTGCCCAGCATCAGGGTCTTTTCTAATGAGTCAGTTCTTCTGATCAGGTGGCCAAAGTATTGGAGCTCCAGCTTCAGCATCGGTCCTTCCAATGAATATTCAGAGTTGATTTCCTTTAGGATGGACCGGTTTGATCTCCTTGCAGTCTAAAGGACTACAGTTCAAAAGCATCAATTCTTCAGCCCCCAGCTCTCTTTATAGTCCAACTTTCACATCCATACGTGACTACTGAAAAACCATAGCTTTGACCAGATGGACCTTTGTCAGCAAAGTAATGTCTCTGCTTTTTAATGTACTGTCTAAGTTTGTCATAGCTTTTCTTCCAAGGAGCAAGTGTCTTAATTTCATGGCTGTTGTCACCATCTGCAGTGATTTATACCAATGTTGATTTCTTAATTGTGACAAAGGTATATGGTAATGTAAGATGGTAGCATTAGGGGAAACTGAGTGAAGGGTATATGGAGCCCTCTTTGCAACCTTTATGAAATTATTAACATTAAATCTGAAATTATTCCAAAATTAAACATTTATTAAAGAAAAAAAGCTAAACAATCAATGGGAAAATTTAGCTGACACCTTTACCCCCCCACCCCCTTTTAAGATTAGCAAGATGGTGCTAAATTTAAAAGCCAGAACAGACTAACAAATGAATAAGCCCAGGGCATGATTTCCAGCTCCATTCCTGGTGCCTCAGAGTTGGTGGCCACATTAGAGCCTTGCTACAGTAGGTGCTCAAAAGATTAGAATTGCCTTGTCCCCACCATCTGGGGACAACGGACAGTGACACTGTCTGCCTGGTCCCAAGGCAAGGTTGCTCTCATACACGATCCTCAGCCTGAGGGCTGGGCAAGACAAACTCCTCACAGGTTCTCCACCATTTGGGCTTCTGACTGGCCTGCTCAGGCCTCCAGCGAGCTCACCTGGCTCTCCCACCTCCTCCAACCTCTCCTCTCAGCCCCGCGCCTTCTCTCTGACAGGTGTTTTTGTGACTCACTCACCATAGTTTAGCCCAGTTGAAGTCAATGTCTACTGAACAGCCCAGATTCAAGTCATTCAATGCAAGTTCCATGTTTTCACCTTCCCTCACCTCCACCATCTCCCCCATTTCTTCCCTCTTCTGTCTCACATGGAGAGGATATCCCTCCTCCAGTCCCAGGCCATTCCCTCCTTCTGATTTTGCTTTGAACCCCTCTCTCCTCAGGAAACTTGTCTGATACTTAGAGTGAAAAAACCAAAGTGTTAGTGGGATCCAACTCTTTGCGACCCCATGGACTGTATAGCCTGCCAGGCTCCTCTGTCCATGGAATTCTCCAGGCAAGAATACTGGTGACGTGCAAGTGAAAGTCACGCAGTCGTGTCCGACTCTTGGCGACCCCATGGACTATAACAGTCCATGGAATTCTCCAGGCCAGAATACTGGAGTGAGTAGCCGCTCCATTCTCCAGGGGATCTTCCCAACCCAGGTTCAATCCTTGGGTCTCCTGCATGACAAGCAGATTCTTTACCATCTGAACCACCACACTTAGTAAACATTTAAAAGGTGTAAGCCCATTAAACCCCCCCCCCAGCGCCCACCGCCCACCTTGTCTGTATCTTTAGTTTCCTTCTACTGGCTTTCCTTTGAGCCCCCAAACATTCTACAGTTTCTCTATTGCTTAAAAGCTCACCCTTGGCCCTGGCACCTGGCAGACCGGTGGTGCCATGGCACCTCCCTCCACACATTCAAGCTACCTCCCTCCACGCAGCCAAGCTGCCTCAGGGCAGCTCCTGCACACCCAGGGTTTCCTTTCTTCCACCTGCCATGTACTCCTTGCTCCCCTGTCGCGGACACACTCCTCCCGGATACTGACCTCCGAGTTGGCAAGTTTAAGAAATACCTTTCACTCCTTCTCTTGCTTGACTTCTCCTGAAGTTTGAAACTCTTGGCCAGTGCCTTCCTGAAACAAACCCTTTTTTCACAGGCTTCCAGAAAATCTCCTTTTTCTCAGTTCTCCAATCAGCTTCTCAGTCTCCTTTGCTAGTTCCCTCTTGTTTCTAACAGTGAAGACAAACCAGCCCAACCTGAGCAAAGCAAAAAGGAACTCGTTGGAAAGCCATGGGGGAGGGGGTGCTTACTAAATGGGGTGGGAAAAACTGGAGGACCAGTTGTGGGGGCCAGCAAGAATCAAAAACACACCAAAGGCCCCCCAAAAGAAGGAGCTGGAAGCACAGTGACTCTCAGAGCCAGCCACCTGGCAAGAGGCCACCACTGCTGCCATCACTGCCACTTGCCATGCAGCTAGACTTGGAAAAAGTGCCTCTGATGGCCTTCATCATCCCAGGGTCACTTGCTCCAGAATCAACCTTCCTTGGAAAAGCTTACAATTGTCCCAACTTTCTCCTGTTGATTCATGGGGCCACAGAGGAATGGGTCCCCTCCCACTAATTCTTCCCATTAAGGGGAAGAGGTAATTTCTTAAAAAGAGGTTTGCATGCTAACCAGCCACACAAAACCTTTCTTCAACACAAACGTTGTACATTTTATTTTGAGTATTCCATATTAATTGTTACATTGTCACTGTTGATTTCAGGTGATGAAGACTGTTGGTTGGTTTTTTTCCCCCCTCTCATTGAATTTGGTTTTAATGAGTCTGAAAATTCTCTGACAGATTTTTGGCCCAGTTGTTGCCATTTAAAAGATTTTAAGAACTAATAACTTAAAACTGCCACGCACAGACACCCCAAAACAAATGGCCCACAAGACACTCTCCATCTGAAAGTTTTACGATGCATTGCTTATCATCAAGCAGTCTCATACTATCAAACTTAAATGGCCAGTTGAGACAGTTCTGGGATGGTTTTCCCATCACTGACTAAGACTGGGTGGCAGGTATTGGAGCTAATACTCACCTAGCCTTCTGAGGTTTCTTGGCAGACATGGTGACCTTGCCATCTTACAGTGAACAGGACAGCCCCATAACAAAGAATGAGCTGGCCCCTCATCTAGGAATTGCCGTAGAGGCTTGACAAACAGGGATGGTATGACAATATTATTGATATACCTCATGAAAAACATATCAGGGCCTTTCTAACTGTCCCCATTTTTATCATTTTTTCTTTGTCCCCAAGCAATCTCAGGGGTAAGGGCTTCCCAGGTGGCTCAATGGTAAAGAATCCACCTGCCAATGCAGTAGACACAAGAGATGCGTTTTTGATCCCTGGGTCAGGAAGATTCCCTGGAGTAGGAAATGGCAACCCACTCCAGTATTCTTGCCTGGAAAACTCTATGGATAGAAGAGCCTGGTGGGCTGCAGTCCATGGGGTCCCAAAGAGTTGGACACAGCTGAACATTCATGCATACAATCTCAGGCAAAGTGAGGAGTGGGTCAAGGGGTAAATATTAGCATTATATCCTGCCAAATTTTCAAAACTCATACAAGAATGTCAGAAAGTACACCAGAATTAATATTAAAATACAATCCAATAATATTAACATTCGGAATTGTCATATTTTAAAATTTTACCAGATTATAGTATGGTTGCCACTTTTCTCCACTCCTCTCAGAAATCCTACGAAAGCACAAGGGGGATGATAAGCAGAACCGCACCTCCATCAGTGAAACCAGGAGGCATCGCAACTCCTCAAATAAAAGGAGCAAGTTTCCTCAAATAAAAGCATGAGGAACCGACTGATAGACGCCAATCAGAAGAGGATGCCCGTGGCCGCAGATCTTAGGAAAGGCCAGCAGAGGGCGCTTCTCCAAGAGGAGGGTCGCATCCTGAGAGGCAGAACAATAATCTCTTGTTCGCAGTAAGTCTGGGATGTGCGGACAGCAGCCGGTCCTCACAGGGACAGACACGTGTTCTGGGTCTGGATTTGCCTTCCTTGCCTGCAGGGCTTCTGCTAACACTACCATTCCTGGGCTTAGACACTGCCAGAATGGACCAGTCCAGGAACTAAGGAGGCAGGGGTGGCTTCTCCCACTATGACCCCTAATGATTCACTGGAAGATTTTTTTTTGCTTTCCTTGCCAGAGGCTCAGTGGGTCCAGAGGTCCTAGTGACCAGTGGAGAGATGTTTAGGCCAGGAGACAGACACTATTATGGCTCCATTCAACTGGAGATGAGGCTGCCCCTTGACCATCTGGGACTCCCCAGCCTGCTGAATCAACAGGCGAAGAAGGGGGGTGGGTGTCACTTTTATGAGCTGAATATTTATGTTACCCCCAAATCGACTGGTAAAAGTCACAGTGTTACCGTATGGGGAGGTGAGGCTTTCAGATGAGGTCACGAGGGTGGAGCCCCGGGATGGATTAGTGTCCTTACGAGAAGGAGAAGAGTCTGGCGCCCTTTCTCTGTCTCTGTCTCTCTGTTGCGCTCTCTCTCTCATGTGAGAATACAGCAAGAAGGCAGCCATCTGTGAGCCAGGAAGACAGCTCTCACCAGAACCCAGCCATACTGACACCCTGATCTCAGAGTTCCAGCCCCAGAACTGTGAGAAACAAATGTCTGTTGTGTAAGCTGCTCAGGCTTACTTGGTTACAGCAGCCCAGCTCTGACAGTCCCGTGAATGATGTGATTACCAAGGGGAAAATGGCTCTGTTACTTAGTGGAGGAAAGAGGAATCCAACGACTCACGGGAGGTACGTCTTAGTGTGCCCTTGTCCCAAAGACTCAGTTAATGGGAAAGTACAGCAATCCAATAACGACAGGACTGCCAAGAACTCAGGTCTTACAGGAATAAAGTTTTGAGTTTGGTCAGGGAACTCATACATGCGAGGCACAGCCAAACACATAGTTGATGTTACTGAAAATGAAATCAGAATGAAAAGGAAAAAGATAAAGAGATAAAAATGATGGGTGATAAGATAAAATACATGGAAGACACAATCAGATCAATAGTACTAAGAAAGTAATTTAAAAAGAGAGATATTTGTCAGATTTCTGAGTTGAAATGTGTGGACATCCCTGAAGTAAAATGAACTTTTATTCATTTGAAAGTGAAATACTTGAGGTGTTCCCTGAAAATGAAAACTACTTATAATGCAAAGATGATGACTATGATTGAGATTATTCAACAGCTTGTGAAGTTCTCATCAATGCAATATGAAAGTTTTACAAACATTTGAGAGGAAGAGGCAAAATACCACTATTTAAAAATTTTACAGCTTTCTCAAGGGAATCTATGGCAAACAGTTTGAAATATTTTTGTATATACACAAATTGGGATATAAGCAATAAATATTGATATATACAAATCAGTACCCTTTCTATACATCTACCAAAACCAGTTAGAAAATATAAAGGAAAAAAGATCCTTTCCACATTACCCAGGAGATGGTTAGAGTGTAGGTGAAGAAAATGATAGTATTCTAACAGAGGGAAAGGATTCAAAGTTGTAGAGATATTCAATTTTCAAGGCCACAAAGATAATACATAACAGTTGCCAATTCCTTTACAAATCTATATATTTAGTGTAATTTTAATTTAATGCAAATTCTGCTGGGTTTTTTTATTTTTGCCACACTGTGAGTCATGCAAAATCTTAGTTCCCGGATTAGGGATCAAACCCGTGACCTCTGCAATGGAAACATGGAGTCTTAACCGCTGGAAGGCCAGAGAAATCCCAGGGGCTTTTTTTTTTTTTTTTCAATTTAGCAGAATAACCTTGAAGTTCACTTGGGAAAAAGAAAAACTATAATAGTCAAAATAATTTTTGGAAAGAGCTATATTATAAGATCATTATAACAATGTCCCATTGTGAGCACAAAAATAAACAGATGAAATAACAGAGAAGAAAGTCCAGAAAGAGACCTACATTTATTAGAAGTTAATGATCTCTATATGCTGCACTCAATATACCATCAAATTTGGAAAACTCAGCAGTGACCACAGGACTAGAAAAGGTCAGTTTTCATTCCACTCTCAAAGAAAGCAATGCCAAAGAATGTTCAAACTACCACACAATTGCACTCATCTCACATGCTAGCAAAATAATGCTTGAAATTCTCCAAGTCAGGCTTCAACAGTACGTGAACTGTGAAATTCCAGATGTTCAAGCTGGATTTAGAAAAGGCAGAGGAACCAGAGATCAAATTGCCAACATCCGTTGAATCACTGAAAAAGCAAGAGAGTTCCAGAAAAACATCTACTTCTTCTTTATTGACTATGTCAAAGCCTTTAACTGTGTGGGTCACAACAAACTGTGGAAAATTCTTCAAGAGATGGGAATACCAGACCACCTTACCTGGCTCATGAGATATCTGTATTCAGGTCAAGAAGCAACGTTAGAACCAGACATGGAACAATGAGTCGACTGGTTTCAAGTTGGGAAAGGAGTATGTCAAAGCTGTACAGTCACCCTGTTTATTTAACTTCTATGCAGAGTACATCATGCAG